AAACTGTCAGCCTGATTTCATCTCGTCACTGTAGTGCGTCTGTAGTGTCTGGCTGAAGAACGAAAACCCTAAAGTGACACAACTTTCGACAAAACAATAGCACAAGAACGCTCTTGACAAATTCAAGCTGCTGCTCCTCCACAAACTCCTGCTGTTGATCTCTTTGTCCCCAGAGAGGTGCCTTGTTTTATGCTTCACCCCAGCCCCTCAAAGTGTGCGTTCTCTCTGATAGAACCAGTATCACAGCTGCTCAGGCACAACAGTAAATGAGAATGTGCCAAGGCACTGTAAATAAAGAGTGCGGAGGAGACGTGTTAATATGCATGCATACAGTATATATGTGTTTATATGAGCACTGTTGCACCCTCTGTGTCTTTCCTGTCAACACACCACAGTGAAACCATTCATATTACTACCGTCTACTGCACAGGCAGCGGAACAGCTCCTGTAAACGCCACACTGATTTGTATTTGTGTGCACTGCAGGTGTTTGATTATCACACAAACACAAATGCGCTCCCTTCGTTCAGAGTGGCTTTTTGCAGCTTCCACAGCGGCTGATGACAGATGCAGGGATAGCCTGATGATTCTCACACACGAATGCAAATGTTGCTCCATGCATGTGGTTGTGTTAGTGATTGTGTGACTACAGGTTGTTTCCTTCATGCTGTGTGTGTAGGTGTGCAGTTAGCCAGGGTTGTAAATATTGTCCAGGGTTAAAAGAAAAGGAGTCAACTTCGTAAAACAGACTTGTAGTTAACAAGTGCAGTACATAACCTGCTCCTCTCTGTCTTGTACTAAATAAGAATGTGGTGTAATTTCTGTCTGTCATGTTTTGAAGATGGAAACAGTCAAAATCATATGAAGACAGTACTGTTAGTACTTTCTTGTCTTCATGAATGAGACACAAGTTAAAGCTACAATATGTAAAGTTCTCAAACAATTTTGTTGTAGAAATCTGCTCCAAAACCCGTGGAGAGGTGCTGTCGAAGCTTCCTGTTACCCAGACTCACTGAACAGCGCTGGCAGCAGTGCACAGATATTAGCTCCGGAGATTTTTAATTATTTCTGGTTGATCAGTAAGTTTTGTTGCGTTCTCTTCTGTTGTAATTTCATAATGACAGATATCTGAAGAGCAGGTGGAGTGTAGGAAACCGTTGAAGAGCATAGTGGAGCAGAGAGAGGGAGTGCTGGGCGGAGCAGAGTGGGTTGAGTGGAAGTTTCATGCTACTGCTACTTTAAGAGCTGCTTTAGCCCTGGCTTGTCGCTGGCAACCGGCCTTAGAAGTCTGGCCTTTTCCGGTGGGGAGAAGTGAAGAGAGAGGCCAGCTAACTCTGTTGAAAACACAGGCTTTATTCCATCTTGGTAACACCAACGCTGCATGTGGCCTGTAATGCCCAGTTAACTGCATTACAATCCTATCTATGCACTTAGAGCTATCTACTTTGGTATTTTCCCCAACCATGGTTTCATGTAAAAGGAGTCTGTTCCATGCCGCGGTCTTCTCGCTCTCATACCGCACATGCTGCAGGTCACACAACAACAGCAACATTACCTATAAGGCCATATGTCTTAAAGAGGAAGGCCTGGCCTGTAGCAGCAGTAGCACATCTGCCTGCAACTGCTACACCTTGTGGGAGACTCTTGGTTCATGAGGAGATTTTTAATTATTTCTGGTTGATATGAAAATAGAATTTCAAAATATACAACAAAAAAAATGCTTTTTAAAAGACTAGGAAGAAGGTTGCCAGACAGGTAGGACATCCAGTGGTTTTGCTTGGGACGAGTAAAATTATCGGTTGGGCTTTTTTCAGCCCTACTGCTGCCACGGTTGATGGATTTTTTTTCTTCATGTTGTCAGTGCATTTAATGTATCCATTGTCATCAGGATGAAAATAGAATTTCAAAATATACAACAAAAAAAATGCTTCTGAAAAGAATCACCAACTCTAGCTTTAAGATAAGTGCAATGCAGGATTAGTAGGCAAAGCAGGCTACTGACCCAAGGCTCCAGCTGTGTGTCAGCTAGTTTACATTGATTTGATTGAGCATTTGTTTGGTAGTTTTCACCACTAAATATCAGTTGTCATACAGAACTCACCGAAAGTGGGTCCACAGTTATGTGGCCGTGTCTCAAAGCTGCTCTCGTCAGTGTGTTTATATAACATTAGCTGCCATTACTTTGTATAATGTGACAGATGGCATTCTTAATGAAAAACTCACAGTAATGATCACCCAGCTCTGCGTTGCCCCTGTATGAAGCCTTTTAGCATCTTTGAGTTCATTGTTTTGGTTTTACAGCCTAGAACCCTTTTTATTCACACTCACTGATTCACTCTTTGTTCAGTTTGCCCAGTTCCAAACAACAGATAGACAACGTGAGTGACTAGCTAGTGTTGCATAGTCGAGTGTTTAGTAAATAAAGAGTGAGTTTATTTCCCTCAAAAGTTAGCGGAGACCATCAGCAGAGCTAAAAATGACCCTGCTCCAAAAATATGCTAACGTTAATTTGAATCTCCCCACAGCGGCCTAAAAATCATAACATTATTGCAGATGTTAAGAGGGTGTGTCTAAATGTAGTTTTAATATATTGTTCAAGTTATTTGCTTATTTGTTGCTTAAATTAGTTCATTAATTAGCTAATTACTTAATTTTCCACATAGAACAGGATTCAAGCTGCTCAGAGTTTCCCCTGGGCCCTGTAGCAGATAAATAACTAATGTTGTTAAGCATATGGTCTGTACAATTATTGTGTGAGGCTGTATTTGTGGTTTCTCTGTGCCTTTATGCATGTCAGCTAGTCCACCATTCCCTACTACAGCCAGGTGTTGTGTGCGTGTTTGCAAGATCCCACTTACCCACTGTGACCAGGAAGCGTCCCATCCCATGTTTCAGGTGTTTTAGAAACGGACCATGCCTGGCTTGAAAAGCAGGATATACTGTACTATGGCCCTGCTCAAAAGCAAGTCCCAAAGCATGCTACTGTGCTCCCAACCCAGGCGTCTACGTTACTACATTCTGTTGGCAAAGAGAATACATGAGCAACAGGAAGTGTCTCAGCTGAAGAATGAGACCCCCCCCCTTTAACAACAAAGGAGGAGGTGGCAGCACATTAGTAAGGAATAAAAGGAAACAATCCAACAGCTATGTTTGTCAAATCCATATTTGCTCTGTTGTGCCTGCTGCTGGTGTCTGCTCTGTTCTGCAGCCGTGTACCTGGGCCAGGCAGAGCACACCGATCGCCGGCCGGCTGGCCTGAGTAGGGGGAGGTTTCTGGTGGCAGTGGAAAGATGGCTTCAGACTCCAGCACTTCCTTTTCTCATTTCCTGATGAAAAGCAAGAGACTTTTTCAGGCAGCGGCACTGCAGATATCTCACCTAGCAGTCTGAGGAAAGCCCTGCCTGCGGGATGTGAAGAGAGGGGGAAGAAGAGATTGATTGTTCTGCTGTGTGTAGAGTGCTAAAAGGATCTTAGATAGTAGTCTCTCCCCTCGGTGAGCAGGATTCACATCCAGGGCTGCACATTCATCGGCTGCATTACAGCAGCTATAGAAATACATTTAAATTCCTTTGGAGATGCCCAGATTAATGGCTTTATTTATATGTATAGTGTGTGCAACCTGAGTGTGTATAAATTAAATAACCTTGGATGTGTGGGTGCATGAAAGATTTTTGTGTGTGTGTGCATTGTTTTGTGTCAGTTCTTTGACTGACACAAGCTGCGCTATAAGTCACGGTGGCGGAGGTAAATCAGCAGGATGTCAGGGAACCAGCTGCTTCTTGACTTGATATAAGATACACCAGCAGCTATCCATAATAAATGCTGCTGTGCCACTTATCTTATTAGCTGAGCTCCCTAAATAACATGCGTAAAAATTGTATTTTTGCTTGGATGAAGAGGAAAAGCGTCCTCCCATGAGATGTCAGGCATAATAAAGTATGTCGTTCTTGTTTCAGGGTTAGCTGTGCTGCTGTCGACTGTTGTTGGCTTGTCCTTCGCATGCTGGAAATGTTTTCTGAGGCCTCAGAGAGGGGATGCAGTGAGTGTGATGACTTGTCTTGAGCGTTGTGTGTTTGTTTTCAGGCAGCTCTATGTGCACATGATGCACAGGCAGTGTGATGAGGTGTTTGCACGAGTCCAGTTGAATTCAACAAAGCTATTCCTTGAGGAGTTCCCAGTGTGATATGACAAGGCACAGAGACATCTGCTATCTACTGACCACTTAACTGCCTGCACTTGTCAATAACTCTTTAAAAAGATCAATTAGGGCGATCAGTGGGGAGAACGCCGCTGGGGCTAAGGTGCCCTATCGAGCTGTTTCTGTGTGATGATGTCACATGCAGCTCTTTTCCAGAGAGAGAGCCTCACCCCTCAGGGCATTTGACTTCATTAAAGTGGTGTTCTCCTCAGTCCCAAGCAACTCACTTGGCAATAAGCTGCTCCTCTTTTATTTGCTTCGTCTGCGCCTGAAGACGTCCTCCCAGTGTCCAGCCAGCCGTCTGATTGAAAGTGTTCTGACTGAAACATTGAGCCATAAAAATCGATTTAGATTGCAACAGTTCCCTTCATTTATCATTTGTTCACCTTTTTGCCCTTGTGAAATGTCCGTTTACACATTTTACAACCTGATTGATTACATGCTGCTGTTTGCAGTTCATTGTGTTCTTTGATCAGCGCTGCCATGGTGTGCTTTGCACCCTCCGTTCCACTTGTACCGTATCAGACCCCGTGATAAATGTGGTTGTCATGGCACCCGAGGCAGCCAGTGAGCTCGCTGGAGTCCAGCTGCTGACAGATGGGCTGGTCCAGGCCAAGCTGGCCTTTCACCTTCTAACCTCTCTTCCATGCTGATTATTAATCCTACTTACAGTGCACTTCCTGTGTCCCTCCATTGCAAATTAACCTTTCTCTTCTCTCTCCCTCTTTCCCCTTTCTGTCCTTCTCTGTCCCTTTCCTTTCACACCCCTTCCTTTTTTCCTCCCGTTCTTCTTCATCTTGCAGCAAACTTATTCACGTGAAAATTATTGACGATGAGGAGTATGAGAAAAACAAGAACTTCTTCCTGGAGCTGGCTGAGCCTCGCATGGTAGACATGAGTCTGCAGAAAGGTGCAGTACTGAACCTATTTAATTGTATCACTTTCTTTCTCTGTCTCTCACACTCACACTTTGTCAGTGTCTTTTCTTTGTTTGTAGCTTCAGTGTCTCCCCAGGCCTCTTTGTCTCTTCTCTGTCCACTTTCTTTCTGAACTTTGGCTTTGCAGTGTCTGCTCGACGGCGTTGGCACCCGATCACCCCCTCCACTATCACAGCCACAGTGCAGAGAGAACCCTCTGTCTCATAGCCATGCTTTCATGTTACACCCAGAACGCCTGCAAAGTCATCATAATGACAAATCTCCCCAGACGCGTCATCATCTGCATAAAAAGCTGCTATCAGTTATCTCCACAGAGCAAGTAGCCATTATTATGTAGAGACACGTTTTAACTAAATGCACAGTCTAGGAGCTATTTTTAAGCGTATGCGCCTGCTTGGGTGAAAAATGTAAGCAAATTGCTACTGGGGAAATGAGATTATTGAATTATTTTGCTCTCAGACAGTCTAACCCAGAGAACTGTTTTATTTGTTAGTTTGTATGAAAGTCTAACTTCATGAACCTAAACAAGCTCTTTTTCTCTAATAGCTCGTGTTGAGCTCATGTACAGCATGTGTTTTTTTGCAGAGGCCATTTTACTATCTGCAAGATTTATTCCTCTATGCAAAAAACTTGTCTTTAGGCTTTTTTTTTTTCAGAAAGGTGAATATAAAAATAGGGCATATAACAATTCAAATCAGAGCAAGATTTGTTTGTTGTCTTGTTTCCTGCTCGTTGTTGCTAATGTCTGCTGAGAGAAGCCAACAGGCGTTTTTTTAAGATTCGCGCACCGTTATCTAACGCAGTGTTATCTAATCACGCTCGAGGCCAGGGGACGGGTGAGGCTCCATAAGCTGGTGCGCAGGGTACAGAATCTAACACTTGGCTGCTGCCTGCAAACACTACAGCTCATTATGTTTATGGTATTGGGCCTGGCAGCGCTGTCTGAGTGGTGCTGGCTCCCTGATTTCAGAGTCAGTCATGATGAAGAGCAGTTACTCTGCAGGTCTTTATGAGTGACGGCTGCATCACTCCAAGCACGCCTCCGCTGCTCTGTGATGAGTCTTGTTTTTTATTCCCTTTCTGTCTTGGCACAGATTTTACCCACACACATGCAGATAAACACACACATGCTATCTATCACACATCTCCTCTGTGATATTAGTAAAATACGAATTTAAACTTTTGCATTTGCAAATGCCTGAATGTAAAATTGTATGTCAGCAAATGCAAATATACAGGACTTGCATATAAATGCATGCACATGGTATTATTATACTGGTTAGCATCTGCATTAATCACTGCACATTCATTTCCTAGCAACTCCTCCACCCTAAATTAAATTCTGATCTTATCTTAGCTTCCTCATAGTGAGACTGTATAACTTTTGAAAGAAGAAATAATCTTATGGTGACAAATATCAGCATCCTTTAGAACAAGACTGTCACAGCAAAAGTTATATAAAAATGACATAGTCTTGTCCATAGTCCGATGGCAGCTAATGTTAGCTAATTATAGGAAACGTTAAATGGAAGTTTCTAATTGCCAGTGAGTTGTTTCACTGACTTTTTGTTTTCTGTTCTTGCAGCAGGTTGTTGTTCCACTACATTTTAGCACTATAGTGTAAAATAAAGAGTGTACATTATATAGGTAGTAGTCTGTGATAGGGCCAGTCATAAACTTACTTTAAACAGACACCCCACCTCTCCTGGATGTTCCACAAGTCTCAGCCATATTTGCAGCAGCTGCCTGATGCCCACAGATCCGTATCAATATCCCAGAAATTGATTTTTTTTTTTTTTTGAGAGCACACACGAGAGAGAGAGAGTGAATAGTTGGCTTGCTGTTAACTACTGTATATTAATGCCCTGTGTGATGAGGTCTAACTTCCTGTATGCTTTGTTAAAGCTGTGGGCGACTGTGATTCAGTGGGTAGAGCAGTCGTCTCCCAGCTGGAGGGTCAGAGGTTTGAATATCAGTGCCTGCAGTCCACATGCCAAAGTGTCTTTGGGCAAGACACTGAACCCCCAAGTTGCTCCCAATGGTTAGAGCCATTGGTTGAGTTGGCGCTGCAGATGGCTGCCTCGGTTCTGTTCTGTGACATACTTGGTCAAATAAAGGTGGTATATATACTGTAATTTAAACACGATAATATAATAAACATGCTTTAACTTGATCGCACTCAGAGAGGCAGCTCAGTTTCTTCATAATGCCATTGCGCCTAAAAACAATATTCCCATGACAGTCCTTCCTGAAATCAGGTTTTGCAGGGTGCTTTAAATGTATTCTGAATTCTTATAATAGATTTTCTTCCCTTGTGAGGACATTCTTTCTCCACTAATTACTTTTAATCCAATTAAAAAGGGAAACAATCAAACGGCATCTGCAGGTGTTAACAGAAAAAAAAAAAACATACAGTGCAGACACCTTTCTTCAGGGGTGTCCTTTAGTTTTTGCAGTCATTGAGGTTTGTGCATCAGTACTGTCGAGTTCTGTGCAGCGGACGCAACTCGGGATTGTGGCAGACAGCGCAGGTGTCCGGGAGGTGGAGGAAGAGAGAGAGGGATGGAGATAGGGAACGACAGCTGGTGCTAAGGAGGACGCACGCCAGTGGCCAGGTTCAGTCTGCAGAGATCAAAACTGCTGTTCACCCCGTGTGTCTTCTCTTTAGTTACATATGAAACACTGGAATTTGTCTCATTAACACTGTATTTCTCACTCTGTCATCATGGAGTGTAACACAGCGCCCATTTCCCTTCTGACATATTTGTGTGTATTTATTACATAAACCGATTAAAATGTTCTGATACTAGAAAGAGAACACAACTGGCACACTAATAAGAGTACAGACAGCGTCGACAGTGAGTAATACGAGATACATCGCCTTGCTTTTTTTTTAAAGGCAGGAGGTAATGAATGTTTGATCAAGGGTAATAAATGTTTGATCTATATATTATGAGGAGGTAATGAAAAAGCTTTTTTGTATGATTTCCAATGCAGGAACATCTTTTATGAATACATTCGTGCTGATGAAACCTCTTCAATTTGAAATTAGAGAAAACACAATCTAGTGTTTAGCACAGGGGTTACATAGATTCGCCTGCTGCCACAACGGGTGCTTCAGGATCTTCGCGATGTGAATGATATGATAATTTCTCACTTTTCATAACTAATGTGACTATTATATTGTTGTTCATAACCGCTGATGTGGGGTTGATTGGGTTTGTTTTTCTCCTTATTAAAGCCCGAGTGGAGGAGGAGAGTTGATGAATATTCTATGAGAGTCTGTTTTGTTTGGGGTTTTTTCATATGCAACAGCCTTGCTCCATTCTCCTCACAGCATTTCCACCAATAGTACTTCGCAACAGAAACACTGAACTCTGGTTTCTTCAGGTATTATTTCAGTATTATGGAACATGAAAATATTTGATAGATCTCATTTACCTCTCCGATCTTTGCAAGTACATCATTCATTGTAAAGTTTCTGGATTTGCTCATACACTGGGATGTTGATAGCCGCACCTGGCAGATGTGAGTAAGGCCCAAGCTGGCAGGTCTGACTCTAGATAGTGTGTGAGTAATGAATGCAATCAAGCCGACAGTCACCCTGACCTGTCAGTCTGGAGCTGTTTACTGCCTGCTCCAGCTATGCCTTTCTCTAACATACAGTGAAGTGGTCAATACCATTAGCACCTCTGGTGGCATGGCCAGGTGAGCCTCTCCACTACTGCTGCTCCTGCAACGCCGCGCTGCAGAGCCAGTCACTTCCAGGTTGGTCGAGCACAGAGCAGGATTTTATTTTGGAAACTTGAGTGCTGAGACACATTAGTGTTGATGCCAGGTGTGTGGAGATTTTATTCAGACTGTGAGCCCAACCTGCAGTATATTTTAGGTATTCTCAGTCATCTCTATTGGACTGCTCTACTCAAACACTAGACAGATAGATGAGCCTTTATTGTCGTTCTAACTATACACCAAAGAAAAGGTACACAGGAGAACAATATTTTGTTGCATTGGTTCACAACTGAAAACGTGATAAAAATACCAAAAGTGAAAAGGCTAAAAATAGCAATAAATAAAATGCCACAGTGCATAGATCATTTACATAAATGCATGTTTATTACACATGAATCTGTGAATGTGTTTAGAGATTAGTTATCGCACTGTGTTTAAAAGTCTAACAGCAGTTGGATAAGACTCTTAGTAAACCTAACAGTACTGCTCCGTAGGCCGCAGCATCTCTCACCAGAAGGCAAGAGGGGAAACAGTTTGGAAGGTTGGGAGGATTCTCTGGTCGTACTGGTGGCTCTTGACAGGCAACACTTTTGGGTCAAGTCCTCAATAGATGGGAGTGTAATCCCAATAGTTCTTTCAACTGACCTCAGTGCTCTCTTCAGGGCCCTCAGGGGGTAAAGGATCAATGTGGCTAAAAGATCCATGGGCAGAGACTGATTACTTACCATTGTCACATAAGTTACCAAACAGTAAGAATACGTTTATGGATGAGGGCACTGTCATCCTGAGTCCACTCATGTAGTCAGGTTTTTTTCCTTAATCTGCCACCGGTATGTCGTTAATGTTTGGCATTTTGGCTTAATGTAGGTTTTAGCTGGTCAACTAATCAGCCGATTAACAAATGTTTGTAGCACTAGCAGGAGCCTATATAAAATATGCTGAATGACCAGCAATGGGGGTCTTCTTCCTGAGGCTGAAAATTGTCTTGGCAAGGTCTGAAGTACATACACTTGTGCCAGAAAATGCTAAAAATATACAGGCTGAGAAAGAGAAGAAAGACAGGATGCTCTAAAAAAAAAAAAATCAGGAGATGAGAGGGAGGAATAGGTGGGAGAGTACTGGGTAGGTTTGGAAGTGTGGGACCTTCAAATAACACTGTATAAAGTGTGCTACAAAGCAGTCACTGGCAGTGTCATCATTCATGTATGGTGGTGTGGTAACGTTGTTTTGCATGGGCTCA